AAAGCAAACCAAATAAATCCGCTTGCAAACGACATGCTTAAGTGCTCTCTGTCCTTATGTATAAAGTAATGGCACTGTTCATAGATTCAAAGCGAGGTAGTTTTACTCACCGGAAAGCGATTAATCAGCTCAGTGAACAGCACGGGATGAAGATGTGTACTCCTGAGGGAAAAAGGCCAAATTAATATAAAATGTTACATTTATTTCCGCCGCGGCCTCGGAAGTTCTATTTTCGTTGCATTCTCAGGGTCTTCTTCTCGGAAAACGAGGTTGTTTTCGCGCGATTTGACTCAGCGACAAGCGTTGCGCGAAGACCATTCCTAGTGTAACAGGATTTTAACGAAATAAGGCAGTGTACTTTTCACCTTTTTTCCATGAAGTCCTTGAGCGCCTTGTTGAGCACCGCTGACAGCCTTTGAGCATCTAAAAGGCTCCCCTGCACAAAACACAAAATTCAGCAGAGCAACATCAACTATACCCCACACGTGTAGCGAGAAAAAAAGATTATCTTAGAGAACGAGGTCTTATAGTGGTTCAACATGTTCAATTTAATTTCACTTGGCTTATGTCCATGATAATCAACAAAAATTTGAAAAAAGGATTAGTTGAACTTTAACACTCACATCTTCCCTCGCCGACACGTGGTGAGAAAATAAAAGACCATCCTTACTTTCGTTTTATCTTTGTCTTCATTTGTTTTTCCTTCTCCTTTCTGAGTTGTATAATGAGTAGATTCAGGTGACCGTGAGCCTCTTAATACTCGAATCTGCAGAGAGACAATGAGTACAAACGCTGTAGGTACAATCCGTTCTCAGATTACAGACAGTCAAGTAAACTAGAATTTGTTGTCTCCTCAGATTATCGGGGCTGGGTAACAAAGGTAATCAGTGAATACTGATTTAACCTTTAAAGAACAGATTTCAGCTACATCGAAAACACACAAGTCTCAATCACATCACCAGTTTACGTAATGAGCTGCAGTTGTATCTTAAACGCTGCGAGAACCCTGGTGAACGAGTTAAAGCTACCAAAGACTGATTCCGATGACAAAAAGTGCATGGAAATGCTTGGGAAACAAATAAACGTTATGAGCCCAGTAGGGTTTTTATAGAGAACTCCTCCGTGAAAAATACATGCGCTCTATTAATTGATGTAAAATTGTGGGGCGAATAAACATCAATAAACGTGGAATGTTCTAAACGCTCTACACTGTACAAGACTGCGAATGTATGAAAATTCCCTTCCGAGAATGATAAAGTATGTTTGTGAAGAAACAAATGTATAAACAATCAAAAACATCACGAAACCAAAGAGCAGCTTGCGATTTCAAGCCGATCGCGACAGTACAGTTGTACTTACCAGATAAAAGAAGCCAAGGGATACAAGCGTTACAATCGAACTTGAAGGAGCTGTTCAAACAAAATATAAAACATCGTTAACAAGAATGACGACAAAAGGACAGGAAATAGGCCATTACCGAGTTTCAAAAACTCTCGCTTTCAAAAAAAAAA